TATGTATATAATTTAAATTTAACTTTGTAGCCACCATGGTAAAATAGTTTGTGTCTCGGAGGCAAAGATCGTGTCCATTTTTTTATTGAATAATTTTGTAACTAAGAAACAAAGTTTAGTATCTTAAAGTTATGGAAAAGTGACTCCTTTGAACAAATGTAAAAATGGCCATGATGCTCTTCTTCTCCGAGGTACAGAAATGTAAATAAATAATAAAAACAATAATTGAGGTATTGTCAAGAGACAATAGCTCGATTCTATCAACAGCAATCTCTTCGGTCAATAGCGATCGCCCTGATGAAGGCCTGAACATTGGGTCTGAACTTCGGCAAATGTTAAAATAAATATTATTATTTATTTTTGACTGATCACCCCAACTATCCTTTTTTCAAAAAATATTAATTATTTAGTTAAAACAATCCGACACTGATTAAGTGTTAATTTATGTAATTAATTTATAATATTTTGTGCAACCAGATAGATTTTAAATTCTTCATTGATTGGCAATAAATATTATAGTCCTGCTGATCGACTGCAGTAAAATTTTATTTCAGCTTCATTATTTTTTTGACCATACAATCTTACTATCTCGGCAATGAATTGTAAGGCTATTCAGATAAAGATAAAATTTTATCGATTTTCCCCTTTAAAATATCCGAATTGGATATTGGTCGAACCATAAGGGCCGTATAAAAATGCGAGTCATCATCGGAATTCTCTTTACCGTTTCAGACCTCCGTATGTAGGACAGTACGACTGTGACCGCATCTGTTCAGCTTTCTTATGTTAAAATAGTTCTCGGGAAGAAATGCGGCAATTTTAAATTAAAATAATTTTTGCGTTTAAAAAAAGATACATTAAAAAAATATATATATCCTCCATAGAATTGTTTTAATAATCAATTTATACATAATTCCCATTATTATCAAAAGTCGCCCTGAGACGAAAAATGGTGATGAAATACATTGAACAATGATCCAATTTCACAGTTGCAACATGTTATACAATTTTGCATCATTTCCTTAGGCATTATTGATAAAATACTAAGAGTCATTTTCGCTTATGGTTTAACAGAATAGAGAAAGCGGGTGTATAACAAAGAGGTTTCAGAAAATGCGTGGAATTCATATTAACCTATAATGAATGCCGAATTCAAAAACTTCGTTTCTAATAGATTCGAGACAGCACAATAATTTAGCTGTCTTTTTGAAAAGCTGTTTTCTTTTTCTTTCTTCAACCTTTAAGTATAAAGTGGATAACCTATGCTTTTAACAAGAAACTTAAATATTGCTGATTGATACTTCGAAAAAAAAATAAATTCTTGCTCGTGAAATTTTCTAATGCTCTGAAACTTTACTTACATATCTTATACATAAAAAAAAACTGAACGTGTTTGTTTAAAAAATAAATAATACGTTTTCGACATAACGCAGAGTTGACATTTATGGAATCTCAACTCACTATTCTTTTGTTCTTTTTCTTTTCATTCCTTTATTGGACAATATTACATTCTGTCACATTCAAGGAGACCAGTAGTACCTCATTTACACTCTACGCACAATAAATAAATAGAATATCAAAATAATAATACTAAAAATAAATCTATATAAACAAAAGAAACTAAATTAATCAAAATAACAAATTAAATACAGACATACATTTATACAATATTTAAAAAATTCATTCACTCAGGACAACTTCGAACTCACGCTTGAGGAAAGAAAGGCAGAACTCTAGGAGATCCCAGAGCCTCTCACTCTATAGCATTACTGATATTTAGGACCAGCATACTAGCAGATCCAGGATTTAATTTTGGGGGGCTCAGCCCGAAAGTTTTTTTTTTTCATATATATAACGATACTTAATTTGAAAAAGGAAAGAAACTAACTACCTTTAGGCGTATTCTTGTAGTCCTATTAAATGTAATTACACGAACAATAATACTTTAAGAGATAGTTTTTAATATTTTTTTTCTATAAAACATGGTTATGTTTTACCATTTTGGAGGGGGGCTTCAGCCACTGACCATTAAGGACAGAAAAATGAAAATTGCTAATTTTTAATAACAAGAATATCATGACTTCGGAATCAGACTGATTTTAAAAATATGGCGGAAACAGTAAGTTACATTGGCTATGTGTATGCCACTGGAGGGTCTTCCGACATCAGGATTCATCTACCGGTGACGTGGCAGGATAAAAAATTATCATGGAGCGTATAAGCACATTGCCTTACTCAGTGAGCTAACCCGATCCCTTTGTTTATCGAATATAATTAATAATAATAAAACGAGATGAGTGATGATGTTGAGCATTTTCGTTTGCTAGTGATACAAAACATTAGCTGATAAACGGTTTTATATTGATTTCTCTTCCAAAATCACCAGTAAAAAAAAACTTAGTTATACATTATTTATTTATTATTCATCAGCTGGGGAGGGGGCTAATCGATTTATTACGATTTTTCCCAAAGAAGTATTAATATTTCTCCCAAATTCTATGGTCCCACGGAGAAAAATTACCTCTGGACCCCGCTGCTAACAGTAATATAACATGCTGGTGGTCTGTTAAAGTTTTCAAATTATGTTCGCAGTTAAATAAATACTTGAAATAATTCAAGTGATTTTATTTATGTAGAGATAAAATAATTACAGTCACTTTAAATTGTCAAAATACTGTTATTCAATCATGTTTATCGCATCTGAGGTCAATAGCAGATTCTAATATAAACACTTGGAACTGAACTCGAAAAGTTCTGACGCAAGTAGTCAAGCTATTTCGAGGCGAAACTATTTAAGAATACGCTGAGGTGCAAAGAAATATTTCTTTCAATACATTGACACGCAGTTGATCTTATTGTTGAAAATATAGTCATATAGCTTTAATTATGAAATAATCATTATCGTAACCAAAAGGTATGAATTTGAAACGAGAAGTAAGTTTTTTAAATAATATTATAAATAATATGCACATCATAATAAAAAATATTATACACAAAATATCATCATTATGCTTACATGATAAAAAGGAGGTTTAAAAAAGAATAGTTATCAGCAAGGTGAACTAAAAATTCAAACCCAACTGTAGTTTCAATTTGAAAAGATGGTATAGGTATTTGAATAAATGTTTTCTATATTTTTTGTAAAACAGTTAATTTGCTATTTATATTTATAAAAAAATCATTTCTAAACCATTTTAAATTATAATATGAATTTATTAAAATAAACGGAATTATAAAGATAAATTTAGTACTTCTTTCTTCTACTTCTTCATAATATTATTATTATTAATATCTTTAATTAATAGAAATAGTTAATAGGAAAAGTCTTTAGGACCTTGTTTAGATTAGGCCCGCCAGTGATTTTCTAATGATATTTAGTAATAGTTTTCATACAACTTGATACTATTGATATAGAAATAAAATCAAATGTTTAAATATTATTTAATTTAGTATTGTTTGTGTAATTGCGGTTATAAGGTGATAAAACGATGAATATTATATAAGAATGAAGTTTACTATATATGCTAAGAAGAGAAACGAGCCAGGAATTTGGGTCTCATTTTAAGTATGTTAATATTTTTGGTTATGTATAAAAAGTTTCTATTAAATAAATCATATGTTTCTCTAATACATATTTTTTAATTTATCAATAAGTAACTGTTACTAGATAAAATAACTGGCGGGCCTAATCTAAACAAGACGAAAGTCTTATAATTATTTTCAACAAAAGCCAACGTTTTTTTGAAAAAAATATTGTCAATTATTTATAAATATCTTTGAATCAAATTAATTACTTATTACACAAAGAGATGAATCTATACATGATTATTTCATGAAATATTTTATTATAGAAATAATAAGTAATTTTAAGAACTTTTTTTAATGAAAAATGGAAAATAATGCAGCAATTTCTCCTGATTTATTAGGGAGTTCAAATTATAATGTTGTAAGCCAAATTTAGTAAACGTACTTCAACGATATATGTATAATATGTATTTAAATTATATGTTATCATCACATCATATATAGTTATATTTTAACCGCCAATTTCAGGAACTGCTTGTTTGATTTGAAAAACTATTTTTGCTTTAGATACGCCATGTACTGAGGAAATTTTAGGTTTAATAGTTTCAAGCTACATTCAATAGGAACGGAGCATTAACCATAAAGGTTAATCAGTCTAGAAAACTGTAGACAATAAAGTTTTCAGTCTGTACATATAAGTGTATAATATAATATAATAATGTATTATAATAACATTATATAATAAGCGCAGGAACAAGCTTTTAAAGATGTGGAAGTCGATTTATGATTTCAATGTTTTTTTCCGAGAGATATCTATCGGTTTACTTATTCCACGAATAAAAAGAACTAAAAATACCGTTCACGGTGTTTTCTTTAAATAGTTTATAATATACTGTAATTCTAAAAAAAAAATTTTAAAATATAAAACCATCAAAATAGAGACGCCTGTTGTGTGAATGTATAAGTAGTTTGAAACTAATTTTTTTCACCCTTATTTTTCTAAATAAAATATTGAATGTTAATAAAATCTGTAATGACTAGAAAGTAATCCAAGCAAAAATATATTGACAAATTAGCAAAAAAAGAGAAAACAATATTATTGAGTAAGGATGTTATTTTTATCGAAATTTCACTTAGCTAATGCTTGATAAAATTTAATTTTTAGATTTAAAGATATAATTTCTAAAATAAAATTATAAAATACAAACAATTTTAAGTCATAAAACCAGTTATGATCGGCCATTAGAGGTATTTTTAGAGCATGAAAATCCAGTCTAAAGGAAAAAAACATTTTTCGTTCTAATGTCAATATTTAATATAGATATGAAACGTTAAGTATTTACCAGACGTCAGAGTGCAAATATAAGAAATAAAAACAACCAAAAGCAAGAAAAACCAGATTTTAGATTACTAGATAATTAATCGTAAACAGTAATAACGGAATCGAAAGCTCTTCGATGTCAAGGTGTGGGTCAAAGCCATGGAAAAGAAAGGTGGGGGCCAAGGTCTCTCTCTAATGTCTTCTATTACACGCTATATTCTTCGGCCGAAGGAGAGTACTAGATCCCTCAATACCATAAAGGTTTTTTTATATAAAAAATAATTAATTTTATGTAAAAAAATATAACAGTCTTCCTATTTATTAGTTAAGATATTTCTATGCTTTCATATTTTACGAAAATTTAAAATAAATAAAAATATTTTATTTAATCTGACTTAAAATAAACCTTGGATAAAATTAGGAAGCAGTTTGCTTAAATAACCGTTACAAGGACCTATCATTGCTATCGTGTGTTATTTCATTGCCTTAATAATTTTAATGCACGTTTTATCATCTATCAAATCATTTCTACGATTACTCATTTTATCATTATTATTGTTTGTTTTTTTAGGTTTCATAAACTTCAATGCTTAATTGCGCTCATAAGTAACAAATATTTATGAATATACTATTATAAAATTTAACTATTAAAATTATAATATTTTTTTTTATCAAGCATTATAATCACAAAATTTTCATTAAAAACTTTCAAGGAATCTAAAAAAAAAAAATTGAAACGGTTTTTGAAAATTGTAGTAAGAAAAACATCACTTTTTGTGTATTTATTTATAAATTTATTTATTTAGAAATATAACAATCTGTCACGTGGTCAATTATTATCGTCATATATGAACATATTCACACCATGTATATATTTATTTTAACTAAAGAGAAAAAGTAAAAACGAATGAAAAAATAATGTCTGTATTAGGCTCAATCATAATATTTCATAAATGATAAAAGATCAAAACTACTGAAGTCAATCATGATCGATTTTGATTTATTACATACATTGATAACAATGCAATGTAATCCAAAGTTTTTATCTTCAACCCGGAAGATTTTTTTCTCTATAAGCTTAAAACGTTCTTCAAGGCTATTAACAAACCGCAACCAATCCCTCAAGTTTCATCGAAGTAGTTAAAGAGAAACAGGAGTGTTGAGAAATAGTTTCCGACAGACGGAAATCTAGATAACGGGACTCATACCAGGAAAGAAACTTTATAATATAATTCGAGTTCGATTGCGTATTTGCCACAAGCGTCCAAAATGAATCCACTGGGTTACTTCATCAAAAGGTGGTTGATTTTGGAATATCCGTACAGGAAAAATAATGATAAGGTATGAGTAATGATGATATCCAATGAGAGGCAAATTGAAAGTAATGATGACTAATATTGATCAAGAAAAAAAGGTAATCCAAGTCATCGAAAGCAGTTACTCCTTCATAGGGCAAACGGTCTTTTTAAATCTCATTCCAACAAATTCCAAAACTCGATTTTTCATTTTTAAACTGAAACAACCTTAAGATAAAGTATTGATACTACCATAAATTGAATGATACTGAAAAATCGTTTAAGAGACTCTACAGGCGGTTGAAACCCGATCTCGCAAATGTGACCCAGAGCCGTGTGTTTATAGAGAAGAAAAGGCGGACCTAGAAAGTTATTTTTACAACGAAATGTGGGCTGGTGAGAATGCAGAAATCAAAACGATGCCCCTCATTTCTGCCCCGGCGTGGGATGGAAATGGCCGATAGGGCAGAATTAGGCTTGGGGCTATCCTGGAATAAATGGGTTAGCCATGATGAAAGCTGCCCCCCTAAACTCGCAGCATATCTTAAAGGCATGTCTATTTTTTCCAAGTAGTTCCTGTTACGATTCTACAAATTCTTATCGAATTACTTTATGCCTTCGTAATGTATGTGCTGATGAACCAAGACGAAGGCGGCTGATATTAACTATATGAAGAGTAGCCCTAATTATTTTCTTGATAACAATGATACCAAACAGAATTTTCGAGCCTAATTTTTCTTTTATTGTTTCTTAAAATTATGTTTTAATAATCATGCTCCATAAAGAGCTTCTATTTTTTAAACTATTTTTATTGATAAATAATAATTATATTCTGCCACACTTGAGGCAGTTATCAGAGGTATACTTGAAACATTCAATCCCGGAAAATAAATAAGCAACAAGAACAAAAAGTTAATCTTAAATTGAAGAATCAAAAATTAAATAAAGTATTTTATTTCTTGATACACATTCATACTTATTCACAATACTTTCTGTCAACACAGAGGAGACTTATGAAAAAGACCATTCTACACAAGTGCAAAGAATAAACTTGGACTATACAGCACAGGAGATAAATAAAGAAGCGGTTCATTGCCGGAACTCCAATTACATATTCAAAAAAGTCCTAATGTTTCAAACTTTGAGGAGGATTATAGGAAACTACCCCTAAGGGTTTTAAGGGGTTTAGTTTTATTTGTATATATATATATATATATATATATATATATATATATATATATATATATATATACAAATAAAACGATTATTACATTGAAAAAAAAAAAAGATATTAATTACCTATATATAAGATAATAACGAAACAGTGTTTAAGAGATTCTTGAAGTCCAATTAAATGTAATTACACGAACAATAATACTTTAAGAGTTAATTTTTTTTAGTATTTTTACCATAAAACGTAGTTAAATTTTACCATTTTTTAGGAGAGGAGAGGGAGGGAGAGAGTACTTCAGCCCGAAAGCTCTCCCTTCCCCGTAGATCCGCCAGTGGGCTTTCATGCACTTTTGAGAATCTCGGTGGAATAACGTCAAAGACGTAAATCATGCCGAGATCATGATGTATGGTTTTGTTTTCAAATGTATAAAGAGTGGTCCTAATTATTTCCTTGATAAGAACAAGTCAAAACAGGGTTTTTGAGACCATCATTTTTTCTTTTCTTGTTTCTAAAAATTTTATCGTCATTATCAATGGCTATAATCAGTCATTTCTTGTTCAACCCTGTTTACTGTTGTTTAAAGGACTTTACACTGAAAGGATTGTAAACGTTTGGTGTTTCTTGCCATCGTCTTGACAGTATGTGGTATCTGATCTTGTTAACGTAACATATTCTATTTTGTTTCGACTATTGACCTGAAAAATGATAACGGGTAAATGAAAATTCTCTTATTTTATATATTGTTCCCTACTAAAAAAAAATGTCCATCAGTAATCTTTATAAATAGATAAAATTTCTGTGAAGTTAAACCCTCAAATTTCTGTGAAGAACTCAATTGTGTAGTGGTCATTGTGGGCAAAACTGAAGTGACATTCTAACAAGTTTTGATATTATCAAATCAAAGGATCTTGGGCTAAAATTATTCCGAAACTCGGACATCGGAGGCAGATGGGAAGAAAGCACTGATAACGACTCACAACTGAGCGAGAATTCCAAGCACGGCCTTGACCGCCTTTCGAATTTCACTGGTGAAGGTTTCGGATCCACTTTCACTGCTCGGAGCTGAATTTGAATCGACCTTTGTATTTTACTTTCCGCGGCGATTGGTCGGTTGCCAGCCCGCCGGTGACGACGGTCATTACCGTAATGACCGAATTAGCAAATGTTACCGGTTCGGTAACTGCTGCTGGAGCGACTTTGGGGCCAGTAAGTGTTATTGGAACGGCAGGGGTCCTCCGGAGATTGGTGTTTTTGAGAGCCGAGCATTAGAAAACTTGGCTGTCGAAGTGCTCACTCAGGCACTCTCTCCGCCAAGACCGGATCCTTACTTGCTGACGAAGATAAAGAGAGAGATTAAGTTGTGGGATAACCCGATCATTGCATTTGATTGGATCATTGAAGTTGATGATAAGTCTGAGAAATATCGACCAAGCTATTAAGCTAATTTGAAACATTCTACCTTGTCATTGATTGTAGCTTAGTCAAATGAGAACATTTTCAGAAAATGAAAAAAATAAAAATAATACCAATAACGTAACTATTAGGAGGATAGCAATGACATTTATCTTTTTTGATTTTTTTGAGGATGCCAAACAATCAGCATATGTAGTAATTTATGGTGTTTATAAGGTTTGGCGACGTGTTGAACCAAGCATGTGAGCCATCAACAGGACAACCGCCACTGGCTGTACTAATAACAAGAAATGCATCATTTTAACAGTGAACTTTATTTTCATCTCAGTTCTTGTTAATCAAGCCAATAACCTTTGTCTTGATGATGACCTACATGGGTTAAAACGTCGGCATATCTAATAAATCAAAATAATTAACTGGACATAATCAAGTAATCTCCACCTATAAATTATTTATGTTTTTGTATAAGCTTTTTCGGTGACGCTCTTTATTTATAGAGAGAGATTTTATATAAAGTTATAAATAAATCCTATTATTATAACAAAACAAACAATAGAATTTCATCTATTTATAAAGATTACTGATGGACATTTTTTTTTAGTAGGGAAAAAAATATAAAATAAGAGAATTTTCATTTATTCATTATCAGTTTTCAAGTCAATAGTCGAAAAAAAAAATAGACATATTAAACCATTATTATTAGTCTCCTTATTTATCAAATCCTTGATTAATCATAAATGGACTAATTATATGAAATCTTGATCCAGACTAATAGTTTCAGAAAAAATAATAAAATACTTGAAATAATTTCTACGGGTCAAATTAAAAATAAAATAAAAACCAAGCATTTGGATTTAATAAAGACTTTGTTGTGAACTTCATAAAATACTCAAACTCGCGTATATAAGCTGGAAAATTTTTCTCAGTCTAATTACTCCTTCATTCTAGCTTTTCAACGAATAATTTTTCGAACGTCACAAGTTCTTTAAACAATATAATACTTTTTAAACATGGATTGGAACTGCAAATGATGGAACATTTGCCGTATAATATATTATGCATCTGATGGGATATAATATATCCATCCGTAACTGGTAAGTTCTCTTCAAAGTAAAGTTTCAATATTTAACAAATTATATCGGTCAATAAAATTGCACATTAAATTCTTATAATTTTTCACATAGGTTTATATCTTACTGAAGTAAATGCTATTTTTAATTCCGAATAGAAATAGATAATTTAATTTTGATTAAAAACAGCACCTCAGACAAAGTAATTTTTTTAATTAATCTGTAGACAGTCTCCTATCAGACATTTAAGATAAGAACAATATATTTTTTGTCATAATTTCTTAATAATACAGATACAGATTTTTTTTTTAATAAATAGTTTTGTTAATACGAATAAAAATACGAGAGTTAAATATGTTATCACAAATTCCTGTTTAATGTTAAGTAAAGTTTGATGATGAGATGCTGAAATTCGTTCTATAATTAATTTAAATTTAATTTTTTTTTAACGAGTTACGTGATTTTTAATTTCAAGAGGCATATCATGACATCCAATGCTGATAGCAATAATTAATTTGTTTTGTTACTATGACGACGCATACATGTAGTATTTTAAGTCTAGCAAAGATTTGCTTGGTAAAATACCAATTCACATAGGATTTTTTCCGTTTTTAATTTTTGATCTAACGATGAATTAATATTGGTAGTACCTTCTCTCTCCCTCTCTGTAGTCATTTTATTGCTCTCCTTTTCTAAAAACCAGTCAAAGTGAAAGCAGAATTTAAACATTGTATATCATATACAATTACACTTGCTGTGGCCTGTTCCCTGTTTTTCTTTGTCCCATGTTTTCAAACTTTTCATTACAAAAATTCATAACACCGTCGAAATATACCTCTCTTGAAAACTCAAAATCCTATTAAAATGTTTCTGCATCAAAAATTTTGATGACGCAACTTACGACATGAAACCCTTCTTGACATCCCTGTGTGTCCCATGGCAGCAATAAAATTAAGATGGGCTTTGAATGTACGATTCGCAAACCCCTAGAAAAATGAAGAATCCAACGAGGTAATTTCCTACAGCTCAGGAAGACTACCATTTATTGAATTAAACAATTTTATTCTTAAGGAATTAAGTATTCCAAAATAAAGATCGCATTTTTATTCTGTTTCGAATATCAGTTAAAACTACGATTTTATTATAGAAATGTAGCGATGACAACGTTTTATTTATTATTTAGTCTATTAATTTTAAAATAGAAGCTGAAAAGTTCGGCCTAAGCTGCCGTTGGTACAACCCTTGCAAGACTCGATCCTCGACATCTTAAGGAATAGGAGAGAGCCTTCGACCTTGCGGCCAAGGACAGAGAACCAGGGCTTTGGGTCACCTTCCATCCATCTGTTTTCTCTGCAGGAATCCTCTTCGCTGTCTTTTAGAACTTCTCAATTATCCCTCCATGTCATTACTGACAGCGCCTACTTTCTCGCCCGTTTAAAACTGTACCTTCACGGTTCCTTCTTTTATTTTTATTTTATTATTATTTTTTTTTTTTTTTACGAAAGCGTTTTCTTCTAAAAATGACACGTTTGGCAGAAACATCGATAGGTGGAAAGCAGTTCGAACCGAGGGAAAAAAAAGATAAGCCTTTTACCTGAAATCTAACAACAGTTATATACTTAACGTTAATCATAACAATAATTTAAGAGGGTCTCACGAACTGTATTTATTACCTAGTTCTGAGCTCTTAAATAAAGATAAACTGTTTTAATTATATTATTAAAGATCAGCCTTTCTATAATTGTTCTTTTCTTTTAAATATTTCTCTAGATCTACTTCTCTCTCATTAGCTGCAGTCATTGGGATT